TTCAAAACAAACAAACAATCTAATATCACCTCTGTAAGCCCAAACGCCAACCATCAAATTCACTCTTATTGTGTTTTGATTAAAGTGAAACAACAGTATTTATGTATTTTTGTAAACTTGCTGAAAGTCACTTCGTTTTCTTTCGAGATGTGGAAGGTCTAACAGACAAATCGATTTTCTCTGGTTACTGTTGTCGAGAGAAATGTGCAGCAAGCACACAGAACACTATTTGTATAGATTCTTTTTATCTCCGTTACTACTTTAATTCTGAACTTGAGCAAAACGACACATTATCTTCATGCTATTCTGCTTTGTTTTGTTCTACCTCCGAGGAGTACACTCAACTCCTTTAAGGCTTTCACTGTGATTAACGATTTTGGCCAACAGATTATGTGGTGGTTCTAATAAACGGATGTACGACACAAATGAATGACTATTCTTATAGACTAAAGTAACACATATCCTGTTTTTAAGTGAACTTCGTGTTGGCTTCACTGACCCAGTACAATATCCTTTCGAAAAAAGTGACCTTGGTATCTTTCGTTTCAACTTCCATTTTGTCCCTTTTATTACACAGCACGCGCTGAACCACGAAATCTTCTAATATTTAAACCTGAGGCATATACCAATTTGCTATCATACTACTGAAGAAAGGCTCTGAAAATCGAGGAATTTTGTAGTCTTGCGGAGAAAATATTCAGCATAAGGATGATCAAAGTAAGTTCTAAGTACATAAGATATCTCTGTAAGTTATTTACAGTTCCCTACCTGAATATTAGCTTCTCTAAGCTATCTACAGTTCCCTACCTGAATATTAGCTTCTCTAAGCTACTTACCGTTCCCTACCTGAATATTAGCTTCTCTAAGCTATCTTAGGGAACTGTAGATAGCTAACAGAAGCTAATATTCAGGTAGGGAACGGTAAGTAGCTTAGAGAAGCTAATATTCAGGCAGGGAACTGTAGGTAGCTAACAGAAGCTAATATTCAGGCAGGGAACTGTCTAATATTCAGGCAGGGAACTGTAGGTAGCTAACAGAAGCTAATATTCAGGCAGGGAACTGTAGATAGCTTAGAGAAGCTAATATTCAGGTTTCTGTTGAGTTAATGTAATCATCAAATAAACCCTAGTTTGATTTAGTTAATGAATAGGATCTAGTTTACGTTTCATGTGTAATTCTCCTTTAATGTTCAATAGAAGATCATGTTCATGGTTGTCGTTCAACGTACAAACTGGCTTAAACCAACCTTACTATTTATTTTATATCTGTTTCTACTTCCTTATATATTTGTCTCGAAATATATTTTTTTAACTAAATTTTGTTTCAAGTTAACGCAGCAACCCAAAAAGCTAACTCTGAAACGAAAGACACAATAAAATGAACAGCTTTTCTAAACTGGCATTTGTGACCACAACGTTGTAAAGAGACTGAGTATGTTATATTATAACGATTATGAAACCTTTTCGCTTCCAGTTATGCTCTATTTGACAACCGTACATCTTGACAATAGTCATGCGGTGTAGTTTCCATTGTAAAAAGTTTCATTGTAAGGTTATCATGTTAAAGCCATAAGTACTGCGTCTGGAGAATAACCAGTGTGTTTAGTATGAAATAACATGAATACCAATTTCATTCTCTAGGTATACGTCGATTGAATGAGAAGAATGACTCGAAGCCTTATCTTGGTGGCCCCATACCATGTTGGGCTGGTTTCAAAATGGAAATAGTTCCTAATTATATTGCGTGCTGTTACCTGGGGCACGTGGTCGTCTTTTGCCTCTGACCTAAGTGTTGGTGGATTCTCACCTATTTAAAAGACGCTCACTTTCCTTATAACAACTGGGGTACGACTAGTTGCGCGTCTCTTTTGGGATGGTTCTTGTCCCCAAGTTGATCTATTTTCCTTTAATTTCTACTATCACTAAGTTTAAGGGATATCTCCGTCTTGGAAGTTCTGAATTCCTGATCTGAGTATATGAATATTTTGTGTTGGAAAAAACTTTTACACACCATTCTCAAAAGCAATGTCAAAATGTAGTTCTGATACATTCCATCCGACTTCAATTTCATATCAACTATAGTTGTCATTTGACTTGCTGATTGCTTATTCAAAACCATTCTAATATAACTTATTAAATTCTTTGTATTTTACACTTGTTTGAATGGTCGGAAAATACTAAATGATGATTTTAATCCGTGGTATTGATAAAAATAATTATTTTGTAAACTGATAAATATTTTCAAAGTTAATTGGATATTGTTATTTATTCAGTATAAACAGAAATATCATGTTTAGTTTTCTCAAGGGGTGTAAAATTCAATATTTGCCCTAATAACATTTGTTTTTTGATGTCAATATTTATTTGTTTGTTTTTGTCACAAAACCACGTTATTGTGTGCTCCGAGGAAAATCGTACTCCGGATTATAGCGTTATAAGTCCGTCAACTTACCACTGACTCGTCGGGAGACAACATTTGTTAAGACAATAGTTGTAAAATAACTTTTAATAACAATAGATTTACTATAATTGGAGTTGAAATATTTATTACAACAAAAGTTATCTTCGTTAAAATCTTTTTATGATAAAAATGTAAATGTTTTTAACGAAGTTTCGTCTGTTTGTTAAAACATGCTTGCGTAGAAAGGAACGTCAATCAGTATTAATCTAAATTCTTCGGATCGTATCCATACTTCATTTGAATAAATTTAGTGCCCATTTGATTACGTGTTATATTTAAATGGTTAAAATTAACGTACAATTGTGTGAAAGGATCTTTTTGGACTACTATCACATAGGTAGTGGAGAATATAAAACACAAGGTTTATTCATATTCATTTTAAATAAGATTCTTTAACTAGATAATATTTGCAGTACATGGGCATCATTGAACTATAAATCTAATAACTAAGTTGTTTTTTTATGTAAGTAGATGTATGTCCCAAAGATGAAAAGGATAACGTTACGCAATGGACTAATGTCTCATCTTACACATTTGTAACTAGGTGCAATTCCGAACAAATAGTTTGTGCTACGAACTGTTACATTTCTTGGCAAAATTCCACAAAACGATCTGACATTAGATCTTCATCGCTAAACTTCTAGAACATACTTGAACTTATCTTTGTAGATCAAATGGGATAGTTTTAAATTACTGAATTTAAGGGCTATTACATTCCAATGAAATATGGTTAAGTATTATGTTTAAGATTTTCAAATACTTTGATACAACTATTATTGATGTGCCATGTTAAAGTATGGCACTTATACATGATTTACATCTGTTAAGAAAGCTGTTTTGTATTTTACTAACTGAACTTACACGACCAATTCACATAATTATTTTCCTGAAAACATGACATTACTTGTTTTGTTTTAAATTTTATAAAGTAAGCAGATAGAGCTGAAAAGAAAAAGACAATGCCAATCAAATTTTGTGTTAAATGTGATTTAAAAAACAAAAAAAACACTTTTGATTCTAGGTATAAAACAAGACAGAAATTTGAAACCCGTATTGACTTTCTTGAATAAATAATTTTGTCAATCTTTCAGATTGTCATCCTTACCCTGCTCGTCGCCTTAGCGGTAATGTCCTCCGCTAGCTGGAATTCACACGACCGATACTGGGATAGATATGGAAGATACGACCGTTATGGTGGTGGACACGATTATAAACAACCTAGATATTCTCGAGGTCGTTATGGGTATGGTCACGGCTATAGCTGTCGTTACGGTGATTTGTGTAACTACCGCAACTGGTCAGGGTATGGTGCTAATGAATATGATGGCTACACTAGACATGGAGACTACGGTAGATATGGCGGCTATGGTGGGTATAGAGACTACGATAGATATGGCGGCTATGGTGGGTATAGAGACTACGATAGATATGGCCGCTATGGTAGTTATAGAGACTATGGCGGCTATGGAAAGAACGACGGCTATGGTGGGTACGGAAACCATGATATATATGGCGGTTATGGACGTATCGGTCTCGGTGGTTATCCATATGATGGTTATTACTATCGTTATGGTTACAGCTAAATATTGTCATAATAATTAACCCAAAACTAAATCTTCTGTAAAACAAAATATCAAGTAGTACCACCTATAGTTCGTTATATCTGAAGTTAGATGATCCACTAATACATATTTCAAGTAAATATAATTCAGGGTATAATTCAGCTCAAATGTTCCTTGGCTAAATAATTACAAGAAATCAAATATTAATCATTTTTCTAGGCTAGATGATTATATATATATAAGTTCAGTACATTTCTAAGTTGAATTATCAATCCTATTAATATGAAAAGAATTTATGGTATGACTGTGTCTATGACATAATGAAATTCCCACAAAACCCTTCGCTTTTTTCACATGGTACTTTAAAAATAAGAGTTTTGAAGAAAAAAAGATATATTTTAGTTCAAACTGAGGATTAACTTACTTTAAAGCATTGAATAACTTACCTTGCTTTCAGATCATTAATGTAAAGGATACCTTTGTGAAACTACAGTTCTCAGTGGTGTACTGTAAAGTCCATATAGTTTTGTTCATGCTGTTCACCTATAAAGCATATGGTGATGATAAATACCATTCAGAATTTTATTTTGAAGCACTGACACTGAACATGTTCGTGTTCTTCGTTTGATCATAAATACAAGTTATGTTCTTAGAACCTAAAATGCTTATTTTTACAAATAAAATCTTACTAACGATATAAAAATCATATATATATCTTATCAAGTGAGCCTGGCATGATTAGGTATAAAGCGCTTAAATAAATGTAGCTCAGAAATAAAGATTTCATTTATTCCGGGTAGACCTCATTCTAAATTTTATATACAGTTGCAAAATATTATTTTCCCTCATCACTAATGTTTATGAAGTGCTAAGTTGTCAGTTGAGACATAACACACGCTGAGTGTAGAGAAAGTATTATCTATATAGTTTTTTGAAGAAGACTAAGTGAACAGTGTTGGCCCAGAGTTTATATTCATAGTTAACCTAGCTTAGTTTCATTATCTACTTTTCATTTTTTAAACAGCCACGAAACATATAACATCGAGTGTGTTTTAAACGTCTTATCTGCCTAAAATAAAGTAAGCCTAGTTGTATATGGTAAATTTGGACCCTTTTTTTTTGTTGTTGTTGTTGTTGTTTTTAACTGAGTTACTTCTGAATTTTTCGTTGTTTTGTTTTAAACCACAAAATTAATTTAGAGGCAATCACTGAAATGATTAACAGCATCATATAAATACGATTTATATAAGTTGAATTTTACCTTTTTGTTATGCAATTGAATGGGTTTTATGCATTGTATTCGCTCAATAAAGACTATCTATATTCATAATACAAAATACAAATATGTATTTATTTATCAACATCGTTATGTTTTTCTTCCATTTATTTTACCGGCCCTTTAAGCAACATCAACAAATATTTGATTGAATTTCAGTGTTACGGATATGTAAAAGTAAATTATGAGCATAGTACTGAATAACATAAATAATACATTTTATAACATATGTGTATACACATTTGTAAAACATATATTTGTTTGTTTACTTACTTAAAGAAATTAAGTTTGTTTATTTGTTCATTTAACATACACTGCCATGTTAGAATTATTCAAACATGAAATCATACAAAGCTAATGAGACAGGTCTGAGGGGTCTCTGTCTTAATATTTTATAACTCTATCCTTGTCCTAAATATGTGTTGTTATTTTGTGAAGCTAGCTTCCAACTCACCTTCTAGTTTCTACAGATGGTTTAAAGATTCCCATTATCCTGTTGGTGTGACACATTAACCTGTTGGTGTGACACATTATCCTGTTGGTGTGACACATTAACCAGTTGGTGTGACGTATTAACCTGTTGGTGTGACACATTTTCCTACCGACTACAAACTCTTCTATCAAACAAGAATTAGGCCTTTAATAAACTTTCTAGTATTAGGACTAGATCAAACCTAGTTAATGTGCAAAAGATTGAGAAAAATAATACACGATTTTACACAGATTATAGTTTTGTAGAGCCTATCATTCAGAGTTACTTGAATTTCTAGATTTTGGAGAAATAATATAAAAAAAGAATAATCCTTGCTTCTTTACATAAGTGTTTTGATAATTTGGTGCTGCACACACATTTTTTTTTCTCTGTCGGTTGCCATTTTGAAAGGTTGTCAATATTAATGAACAATGCTAATCACCAGAGGGAAGCACATGCAGCAGAATTTTCCTAACGTTTTCCTTTACACTAAGATAACGGTATTCGCAGGATTATTTCATAGTTTGTATCCCTATTATCGATTCATCTTAACACCACTTTATTACTGATCGACTTTGTTACGATTGTGCTATACTTATTGTCGCTTTTTCTTCAACTCTATTAATGTATTACTTATTTCTATCAGGAATTAACTCATATCAAATTAAACATAGATTTCTGTTAATTACTATATCAATAACACATAAAAAATTAGGTTTAGAACTACTTTTGTGTCTTAATTGCAGCATATTAGTCCGTCATCTCTCTTCGTTTATTCTTCCCTCTCACATCTCCCGGTCTCTCTTTTCTTTCTTCTTAATTGTCTTCTCTTATATGTCTTTTTCTACAACACAACCGTTTTCCTTACATCGAATTAAAACGTCTCATAGTTGTAGGAGTTATTGTATCTTCTAAATCCGCTGAACTTGAAAGGCAGTTGCTCTTCCAATAATTCTCTAACCACTCGTAATCCCTTAGAGACTAATCAAACAGTCGGCCGCTTTCTCAGTTATCTCAACCCCAATCGCTTCTTACATTGAATTTCATAACAGTCCCAACACTTTCAAAGTTCTGACCTCCATAGAGATCATGCTATAAAAATGTGCCGTTTCACATATGCTAACACTGAATATAGTCACGTCACTGGGAATTTATAATCTCTAAAATCTCAGTTTCACGTAAATTAAATCTTTTTGCCATCTTGCACGTACATCAACATTATGTATCTAACTATTTTTCTAAAAATACGTTAATCGTTTCTTTGTGGGATATAAATCTGTGATATTTGCTGTATGGCTAATTTTGGCTACATATTATATGTGGAATACTAACGCTGATCATTTTTAAAATTTTATCCCTTTTATCGCCTTTCGACGATGTTTTAGATACCAAAAATAAAAAAGTCACATTACTTAACTAGTTAGTAAAAATTAACCGAAAACGAAACAAAAAACTTGAAATGCTTGTAATGTTGCATGATTTTTTATAAACTGGTTATCACTCAGAATTATCTGTTTAATAATATAAAGATTATAGCTATTAAAACACTGTTAGTTGCTGATCAACTAATAGTAATAAAAGTTAGGAATGATATTAGGAGTCGATTATGGGATATATGACAGTGTTTTCAACCTTAAAATAACTAGAAACTTCCATATTTCAGTACATTTCTATAAAGCAATTCTATAAATCTTAGCTTCAGCAGATAAGCAGACTTTAAGAATGCAGGTACCCGATCCCAAATCCAGAATGCTTGGCACCTGAGCCATGCCGGATTTCGGAATTTTCCTTGGTTTTGGGGTCATTAGGCCTGGTATGTACAAATGATATAAATATAGTATGAAATACACACATAATAGTTTTTTTTTCGCTTACAAAGCAGGGGCTGTAGGATAAATCTTCTTTAATTGTATTTCATCTGATGACGAGAAACCAGTTTGAGGAGTAGTCGCATGAGATTATTAGGCCTAATTCATCATGAAATACCTTGGATTGTGCTATGATCATATCACCATACAAAAGAACCTTCTCACTCCTACGAAGTTTTATCCACTCAAACAACATTTTGTCAAGATCAGCGTTCTTAGGTTGATGCAATGTTTTTCATTTTTCCATAAACTTTGGCATTCACTGTCAGCATAACATTTCAATAGCTGAGCCTCTTGTTTTTTGAAGTCGTAAATGATGGAGTTACCAACCCCATACTCATCACTTAACCTTTTCACCGAGCCTCCCTTCTCAGTAATCCCACCTTCTTGCAATACTTACGGAAAAATGCTTCCTCTTGACACTTCAACCAGCCACAGGACTGTTTGCTTGCCTTTTGGACATTTTTACGATGAACAAAAGGGTAAAAATTAGAACAAACAAAGAGAGAAAGAAGGCTGCAAAACCAAAGTGCAGGCTTGACCTGAGACTGCATGTACTGCATCGACTAGCCACGCCACCAAAACAAAGCGGCTATGCCTGTAATTAATCTACAGTTAAGCCTAAAATAAATGTTTACTTACTTACTTGTATTTACCTATTTGTACAGGAATTTTAGTGCTGTTTTCAGTCATTTCAAGTCGGAAGTGTGCATTTGTAACTGGGAAGAGTCAGGGTATAAGGAATTTTTCAAAGTTAATAGAAAATAGCGGATTTTTGGAACATTCCGGTTAAGGGTCACCGGATTTGGGATCGTCTACCTGTATAAAGTTAGATCACCTAGGCAACAAGACGATTACTATATCTTGTAAGGTTCTATCCTTTGTTTAAAATGTAATTCATATCATAAGGTAAACACCAAAAGGGACCTCATATACATGATATTTTAAACGGACAGTCATCCAAATCTTTTCCGTTCAGCATTAATTTTCGTACCTAGGCAGGTTAAATCACGTAAAAAAATGGCCGTTTGTGATTTATAGGAGTTATTGGAAGATAATGAAACCAATATTATTATTTTATAAGCTTTTTGCCTAAATACATCTGATACTGCAGCATGTTAATTTACTTGAATGATCTATATACCTGATAACTCGTGAATACGTAATAACTTTTTCGTTCAAAGCTTCAGAACCCTAGATTGTAGCATTATAAGCCTTTAAGCTTATCGCTGAACCACTGGGAACTTCTGGATATGAAAACTGTAAATTTACATTCTTCACGCGGTAACAATGAGTCATGCTATAAATTGCGAACAATCTGCCTTGAAGTAATGTTACATACAGCATATTGTACACTTTAAATAACCAGATTCATAATCAGGAATGACGTCATTCAGGTCGTAGC